ATATTGAACTTTTTCAATATATATATATATTTTTTACTGCATGGATGTTTAAATGTTAAATAAAAATAATTTGAAAAAAGATAAATAAAGTTTTATACACATACAATAAACTGACTGTGACAATGTTTTTAAAAAGAATTTTTAATAATATAATATAATATAATATATAATAATAACAATTGATTTGACTAGTTTTATTGTATTAATGAGGACTATTGGAGTTAAACAAAGCTTTATTTTATATTTCTATTCTATTTTTACCTGTATTGTGCAACACTTTGTCTTTATGAAATGTGCTATATAAATAAAGTAAATTAGATTGGATAATAAAGGATTTACATCATGAAGACCTGATTTTTACTGCCCATAAGAGAGACACGTCTTCATAATGTGTGTGTACATACAGTATGTTAGTCCTCACTACATGATTAGTACCCACTCACAGAAAGCCTTATAATAAATACGATTCATTTATTACAAAAATACTTTTCAGAGAGTCATCTGTATAAACACAGAGGACATTAGCATAAACACACTCTTAAACACAGTTCGCACATGTTTTCAGGACCTGAGAGGAAAAAGTCAATTTTGCTATACAAAAGTTCAACATTCAAAGGTCACACTCTGGTTTAAGGTCAGCTATCTCTACGTTATTGATCAATTGTAGAGTAGTTTTTCAGTTATTAGTATTGCACTAAGTAAACAAACACTAAGCTCAAGGCCAAACCTAGAGTGACCACTTTTATTTTATTGTAGTTATATACATTTGTTGAGTTTTTTTATTATTTCTTTGGTAATATTGGAGGCATGCTCTCTGGCCAGACCACTTCAATTACCATTCTGCCAAAGAATGTGCACAATAAACAATGGGATATGAAGTTTATATTCCTTAATAAATTTTTAACTCATGAACTTGCAGTGTCCTCATTCTCCACTTGAAAAGATTCAGATATGACTCTGAGTTTCAAATGGAGAAAGTGATGCAACACATCCAGCTGGATAAGGATCTAGTCATTCAGTCCAAACCAGTAAACATTCAAATCTTATTTTCTTGTCATATTTTACTGAGTGAAAGTAAAATATTTAAAAATAAATACAGTTATATTGATTGATTGAAAGATTGATTGATTGATGCTTTTCCTTTTGCCTTTTTCAGGGGGCTGGATGTTTCATATTGGTCAGTATCATTTCTCATTTGGGAAACTCAGCTGAAGAAGGTATGATACTTTCCTGAATGAAAACATGTAAAGAAATATATCATACTTGGTGTAATCTTGTACTACTATCTAAATGTGTTTGTTTTAGGACATTACATTTGTGAGGGGCTTGGCCAAGAGGGCAATCCCCTTGCAACCCTCAGGAACACTGTGTGTCCAAATCAACTATACAAGACATCAGCCATAAGAAGTCCAAATGGGCATTTATCCTTTTGACTTGCAAAGACCTGTCTCCTTTCACTGCCTTACTCCTCATCAGTGTATCTCCACTTAGGCCTATACAGGAGAGAACACAAAGAGAAGTGGTCTCTCCTGTGAAGGAGAGAAGGTATACAGGAGAGAATATACCTCTCCTGGAAGAGACATGGTCGCTCCTGTGACATGTGAATGAGAATTCACCTTTTCCATAGATTAAAGAAAAATATCTTGGGGCCAATCAGCTATGTGGTGACTAATGTGTGGTCATTAGTCTGGGGAGAGACTAATTGTATTTAAAATCTGCTGTTGAAACTTTATAACTTTTAGATAGCTGGATAGGTTAGCCCCCATCATGCTGAAACCTGCCTCATTGAATCTCTACCACTGGGTAGTTAGGCCTATACGGGACAAAACAGAGAGGAGAGAACACACAACCATCTTGGGGCTAATCAGCTATGTGGTAACTAATGATCACATGTAATTATGCCTTATGAGGGACTAATTTTATTTAAAATCTGTTTTTGAAACTTTGAAGCTGTTGTAATGTGTAAAAAGTCTATGGGCAAATTAGTTATGGGGTTCATAGTGTGTGGGACTGTGCTCCATTGGCCTTTGTCAGTGGGCATGACCCCTGTTTGAAGAGTTTGAGGAGGCAGGTTTTGTGAAACCTGACCAGACGCTGTTAGGCCCTGGCAATATCCAGAAAAATCTGGAGCACTGCTCAGAAGCGTGGACTAGAGTCTTAGGACTTTGGTGAAAGCTTCATGTTTGTATTTACATGTGTTTTAGGGACAGTATAGACCCCATCTGTAAGTTGATTTGATTTTTTTTTTTTTTTTGTCACTAATAGATGTAAGACCTCCGCTCACCTTCAGAATCACCTGTGCTCTCATGACTGAATTTCCAAAACAGGTCAAAACAAACTGGGAAGAAAATGTGAACAACATTCAGATTTGGAATATACTGCGATGGGCTTGACTAAGAGTCCCCTGCAGCCCCGCAGGAACATGGCTGACTTACAACAATCAACATGTGTCCAAGTTAACCATATAGGACATCTGCTGAGAACAAAGGTCCTACAGTATATCCTTTTGTGCCAGCTGTAGAGAGTGGACAGCCTGGATGTGGGGCTCTATTTGACTTCACATGGGTGAATCCCATTTGAAATGACCTGCCTATTTTGAATCTGGTGAATGTGCACCACTGCGTAGTGAGGCCTACAGGAGAGAGAACACATCTGCTCTATTGCCCTTTGCCTTCAGTGGGTGTGATTTACCCTTGAGGACTTTGAAGAGTCAGGTTTAGTGAAATGGGATTTCACCAGAGGTTCTTTGACCATGACAAAATCCAAAAAAGTCTGGACCACAGCTCAGAAGCTTGGTAAAAGCTTCACTGTTTGCATTTACTTGTGTTTTTTAGGAACTGTACAGACACCTTAAAATGCATTGTCATCTTGCTTTTACTGGTGGCAAAATGAACTAAACCAGACACATTGTGAATGAATAACTAACATCATCATATAGCTGCTGTGAAAGCAGTTGACCTGGGTTCGAATTCCTGGCCATCACATAGTACTGGTACTATCCCCAATAAGACTGTGCATCTGTGGAGTTTGGGGGGGGGGCTTTATTTATGCAACTTAGAACCAACTACATTGTAGGAAAAAATTTGTATTATGCTGCTGAGGAATAAACACAAGTAACCCATATTATTCTATTCATATTAAACAGGTGTGCCGGTAATGATCATACAATACTAAAGTAAGCATTAAGTATTCTGACATTATACAATGATAAAGGTGCCCAGAGGCTCATCCATTTGTACCAAATGACTACATGATGCTGTGGAATCCTACCCATATCACTCATTCAGAAACTTAAACTGGAGAATAAAGTACGTCACAGTGAGTGTGTATCACATGTAATGTGGTGAAAATGGGTGTAAATGAATACAGAATACAAGAAAATAAAGATCACGCTGAATTCAATTTCAAGGGGTAAATAAGAAGTAATTGCATTTGGCAGATAAGTACCCAAATATATTAAACCCTTTAATCATATTCAGTAATTATTTAAAGGTAACATCTGTGATGGAGAGTGCAGTTTTGCCTGTCTCCATGGAGATGTCATTGCTTTCTCTTGAATTTTTATGATTGTGGCTCACAGAAAATGAAAAAACAAAATTCTGTGTCTCAGAAAATTTGAATATTACATAAAATGAATGTACAAAATTATATTTTAAACAGAAATTTCAGGCTTCTAAAAAGTATGTTCATTTCTATGCACGTATTTTGTTGGACCTTCTTTGGCAAGAATTACTGAATCAATGTGCCGAGGCGTGGAGGTGAGCACCCTGTGGCGCTGCTCAGGTGTAATGGAAGCACAGGTTGTTTTAATAGTGGCTTTCAGGTCATCTGCATTGCTGGGTCTTGTGTCTCTCATCTTCCTCTTAAAAATATCCCAGAGATTCTCTATGGGGTTCAAGTCAGGCGTGTTTGCAAGCCAATCAAGCACAGTAACACCATGGTCATTGAGCCAATTTTTGGTGCCTGTGGCTATGTGAGCAGGTGCCATGTCCTGCTGTAAAATTACATAAGCATCTTCATAAAGCTTGTCAGCAGAAGGACACAAAAGTGCTCTAAAATGTCCTGGTAGATGGCTATGTTGACTGTCAACAACACTGTGGACCAACACCAGCAGATGATATAGCAAGATACTACTTGATTTCCAAAACATATGCAAAATTTACTTTCATTTTAAAAAGAGGACTTCAGACCAGCAAACGTCCATTTTTTTTTCCTCCACAGCCCAGGTAAGACACTTCTGACATAGTCTCATGTCCCATATATCTGATCAATAAGTGACTAATATAGACTGTAGATAATCTTGTAAATGTCATGTTTATTTTTTCATACCATTTTTTTTTTTTTTTACTTTTGTGTCTTTGTGGGGGCAGTTGAGCCTTTTAGTTTCAGTATGCCAAGAGCCCAGTGAGGCTTGAAGTCTGGTCCTATAAATAATCTACCTCTGACCTGATTCAGCCTAACCCTCCAGATGTGTCTAAAATGGATGTGAACACATGGCCTACTGCCATCCCTTTGAACAGAACTAGACAGAACATTATGTTCTTTCCACCATTTCACATTAGACAAATAAAATAGGACTGGGGTTGAGTCTTGTAGGTTATTGACAGAAGATAGCCATTTAATCAAGTCAAGTGTGAATTGTCTAGAAGCATACTAAAACAGGTTTACAATTCTTACCCTGACATGGATGCTGGTCATAGTCTGTACACAGTATATGATGCTAGTGTTCTGTCAGTGCTGTAAACTTTGGTGTGAATCAAATGGAGCTCTCCCAAATGCAGAATTTGTGCCCTCTAGAGGCTTTCTCCTGCCACTTACTTCCGCACTGCAACAATCCCTAGAATTATGCATTTTTAAAATCAGTTCTAAAGTAGTTGATATTTTGACAGGTTAAGTTAATTCTCACAAGGTATTATTATAGGCTCTTATAATAATACCCATTATAACTGCAGATGCTATGTCACCTGATAAAGTAAGAATCTATTCATACAGGGACAATGTCAGTTTTTCTTCCTCACAGCTGTTTTATTCGTTCAACATCTCACATTACAAATACTTCAAATGTATGCATACAGTTACAAACAGTTGGCAGCAAATGAATAAATGACATTAGATCTTTGTTTTACTTCAATACTACAAACCAACTATAAAAACTGACGTCTTGTATTTTTGCAGAAATTAATCAGGAAGAAAATATAAAAATTCAAACTTGCGTATAAATGTGAAATGACTGAATGAAAAATCAAAATTATGTCAGGTAAAAAAAGTTAATAAATATAACCTTCCCAGCATATAATTAAAAACTATTGAAATTTTGCAATCAAGTAATACTAACAGACATAATTTTTTTTCATCTGAAAACATTGAGCACAATACAGCAATTAGAAAAACTAGACACATCAACAAGTTAAACACATCACCCAAAAATATAACAAAATCTGATCAAAATAATAGTTATACATTTCAATTGAAAATATAGCAAACGCTAAATACATTATCGACCTAGTATATACAATGTTTTCAATCACAGTAGCATGGTAGTAGCAAAATAAGTAAATAAGCACAAAACTAATAAAAATAAATTCAGGTATAAATTACTTTTTTCTTGCAGACATCAGTATGAACAATAGGAAACAAATGTGTAAATGACTGCATGGTTTATAGGGATTAAATGACATACACTGTAGAGACTTGTATCTGGAAAGAATAAGTATTGCACATAATGGCTCAAAGTTATAACTTGCAACATTAAATCACATTCAGGTTATGTCCCAAAGCATGCCACATCACAAAGGGGTCAAGTGATCAAGTCTCCTCACCTAAGTCCTACAGAGTGTCCTCTATATTACAATACAAAACGCATCCAAAGAGTTGTTACGGTGTAGATTGCATAAACATCATGTCTGTGTGAGGAAGGCAGACTCCATCATGTAAAGAGAGGCTACAAGAGATCTCAAAGAGAGATAAGGAAACCAATGTGGGTAAGGAAAAGGAGATCTAGTGCATTACATTAGGTCCTGCATTAACACTAGCCTTGTTATTTCTGTATTACGTTATGCATGCCAAGAATAAGTAGAACTTACAGGCAGTCCCAGAAAGAGGATCTAAATATTCAAAGAGCTGATACTCACTCCAGTGATTTAAGGGATTCACATTGACCAAAGCCAAAACATTTACCCTACTCATTGACTACACCTAGGAGCAAATATCAGAATATATTTTCAAGACTATCAAAACCAGTTTAGAAAGGTTTTGTCATGCCATAGGATCCTGTTCCATTAGGACAGAGGAAAATCCACATATAACTGGCTAAGAGCAGCCTTTTTTATTCTACAGAATCACACCAATGCACCAGACATGTTTCAGATTTACCAGCACTTAAATATATAAAAGCTAATTGAAAATTATATTAATATCATTCATTTTTCTTTTTTTTAAATTAAGTTTACCATAAATGCAGATCTCTTAGTAACAAAGGTACAAAATTATTTTTCACCAAGTGAAAAAAATGAGGTATTGCAAAAGGAGTTCTCCCATCTGTGAAAAATGTGCCTAAAATGACTATTGAAAAAAATATTTAGAAAAGTAGTGCATAATAAATGTATATATGTTCATGACAAAATAATCAGCTATAAAACACTGTACAAAAATCAGCAGGCCATGTATAAAATAATATCTTTATCTCTGTGACAGCAAATTCTAGCTACTACCAAATCCAACCACAACACTTGTGTTAGAAGCTCCAGTCTGGTAGAGCGTGCAGTGGTACACCATGAGGACAGCTCAGGGAAACTGGACTGTGCATTCCCATTAGTTTGTACTACATTAGCATGTTAGCTTCCAGTGCTAATATCCCTGACAATATAAAGTGAACAAATACTACTGCCAATACCTGAACCCTGAGGGCTGTGACGTTTTTAGCTGAAATTTAAAAAACAAAAACTTCAAAAAACTTCAGCAGTCCTCTACAATGACAAGAGGCCTCACTATTGTCCCACAACCTCAGATCTGCTTTAGTCCATGTGTTTTAGGCCAATCTTTGGTTTGCCCTTTTCTGGTTACAATGTGTCTTTTTAAACCAAGACCTAAAAGCGCCAAGTCAGCATCTTAAATGTGTGCCAGACTGAGGGGAGAATTTAGTGACGTGGCCAGATGCTATACAAAAGGCTGCTTATAAACTCAACCCTTCGGCCATTTTAAATGATGCTCCATCTCTTCTAACAAATCCTTCACACGTCAACCTTTGGTAAATGGTACAGTTGCTTTCTTATCCTGCAAGCAAGAACACAAAATGCCCCTTCTCCATCTGAACTAGTTAGTGTACTGATTCAGGTATGATAAACCCTAATTAAATTTTATGTTTCTCTTGACAACAAATGCAAGCAGCTTTGCCAGCCAACAAGAAAAGAAAAGTCAAGTGAGAAAACATCTAATCCAATGCATCAATATGCTCATGCTCAAACGTCCAAACATAAATGGGATTTCTCTCTTATTTAACATTTCTTCTTTAGAAGGTCCAATTAAAATTAAAATAAAAAATAAATTAAGTATTTTTAACTTAAAAGAAAAGTGCATTTTTTCATATCATAGCCCGTACCCATTTCCTATCTTCTCCTCCCCTTCTGCATCATGTCCCACCCTATCCCTCTCGCCTCAGTTCCAGCGGAAGGAGATGTGTCTCGGGCGGTCTCCTCCCTCCTTCACCAGGGGCTTGTGAAACTCTCGTCCGGCCCGGGAGTGGATGGCGGCCCAGCAGTACTCGCAGTAGTACTGCAGACACGTCACGTTGGCGCAGAAGAAAGGAGCAAACTTCCCCCCACAGCGAGTGCCCTGACACTCGTCACACAGCTGGTCATCCAGAACATATGGCTTCACTTCCACCTGGAACACAAATGCATGCGTGTCTGAGGACCTTCAGACCTGAAATACTCTGTACAACCAGTACTCTACCAAGTCAGTCATCAGAGTCTAAATGCTATCAATAGTGTCTAGTCTTCATATAGAAGCCTGATAAAGAACAAAATACAATGTAAAAACTCACCCGTTTATCTATCTCCCCATGCTGCAGTTGAACAAATCGGGCACTAATGGCTGCTATGTAGCTCTGCTGATTGGAGAAGGCCACTCGCCCCGCCCCTTTGGGATACTTCAATTCAGGATCTGTGTCAATCCCAGCATAACACACTCCCCCATACAAACGGTCCATGATCATGGCCAGCTCCACTGGAAAAAGACCATCAGTGTCACAAAACTGGGTCTGGCCAAAAGAAGCTCAATGTATTTGGGACAAACCTGCACGTAAAGGGCGAGGAACACCGCCAACAAAAATGGTCTTTCTTGGGTCCAAAGGCTGGGAGCCGTCCATGACAAAGTCACTGTCATTGAGGTTCCAGGGCCTTATTTGCACCTGTGGTTCAAGAAAAGGCCGTGGTATTTCGTATATTTCTGACAAAGCACAACTGAACGAAAAAAGAAAGGCGCACACACTCACAGGCTTGTCTTTGATAGTCGGGCTAGAGACACACAGGTACAGTTTTCCATCCTCTTGAATACAGGCATCAATCAGAGCCTGAACAGAGCTCTCATCTTGAAAAAGCAGGAATGCATATCCTACAATACACAAAATAGTTTATACAGTTTGGGAAAGTATTAAAATAACAGATTTTAATAGCCTCATTTTCAACACTGTTGCACACAAATCTTTTCAATATTGAGATTTTCAATATTGAGCTAACCTTTTGGCGGAAAATAGGATTTGCTTTCTGCTTTGTGTGGCCAGTCGACAAATAAATGACCAAATCGACGGAAACTGGCAGTGATCTCATCTGCAGAAAGGAAGCCAAGTTATGTAGCAAGTTAATACAATATTGCCATGTTCAAATGTTTACCTAATAATGACCTGAACGGCTTTACCTTCATCTATGTCTGGAGGCAACCCTCCAACAAACACCTTGCGGGAATATCGCTCTACGCGTTCTCCATTCAGATGTGGAAAACAGTGGGCGGATCCCAGTCCACCGAGTCCCTGGTCTCCAGACTCATCATCTCCAAAAGAGCGCTCATCCTCCATTGGGAACAGGGAAGAATGCCCTGCAGTGAGAAATATCAATGACTGCACTGCTCTTTTCGGAGGTCATACAAGGATTCTGCATTTTATTACAAGAACACACGTCTTATTATGAGTCATCAAAATATGCATGAAGAAAAAACAAGCCACAATTCAAGCTTAGACTTATTAAAAGACAGGCCTTGAGGTAAATGTAGGTCTAAAACAAGAAGCAACCCATTTAGAACAATTAGACATACAACCACACAAGACACACAGAATAGGGATTTCAGTGGCTACTGAAACAAAAAACTGGCTTCTGTGAAAACTAAAAAAAACAAAAACTAAAAAAACAAAACAAAAAAAAAACAAACAAAAAAAAACACACAAACAAACAATTATTACCTCGTCGTCTGCCATAATTTCTTGCTGCATGTAAAACAACAGAACACTATTGAAATACAGGCAATGAGCTACAGCCAACCAATTGTAACATAAAGCCACCCCATTTGTTTTAGACCATCATATCTGCTATAATGCCACATGCTAGTAACAGTAGGCTTGTCACATACCATTCATAGGAAGAGGTCCATCTCCACCCTGATGAGAGAAGCTATAGCGACCTGAATGAGAAAAATCGTAAAGAACAGTATATCATCAAATTGAATTAAACACCATAAACAGAATTAAGTGCTTGCAGTTTAACATTTGATCTGTCTTTAATGAAAACTAACACAGTAGTTTTTACCTCTATAAACCAGGTCATATTTCAGTCTTCAGTCTAAAAATGTTAATGCTCTTTGATTAAATCTTGTGAATCTGATTACTAGAAAGCCATTTGCATTTTTTCCAAAGTTGTTCAGTTCAACAGTCTAATGACAACAGCACATGGAGAGGTTTTCCAGAAAATACCATGGGAAAAACATGACCAAGATTGTACAAAATTGATATTACTGGTTGATGATGGGTTACGTAATTTGTGAGTCTTAAAAAAATAATTTTCTTTACATTTATAATCCTTTGTAAAACATGCAATATGCAATGTGTACGTAGGCTTATAATTTTATAGCCAACATAGTTCATATATTTATGTCTTAAATCAAACAATAACAAAAGAATCACAAGATAAAAAGATCAACATTTTGTATTTTAACCTGTCAGTATAGTTGCATGTTCAATCCCATATCTTGCATAAGATACAAAAGAAATGCCCTGTCAACAGTATTACCATGTTGTAAAACAAATGCCTGAAAATCCTTTTATTTATATACAAGCATCAGTGAGTAAAGCGGTCCCCACCTCCCCATTGTTGGTATGGGAACTAACCTTTCAAGGAATCCTGCTCAGCCCTCATAATGTCAATCAGGGAGTTCTCCAGAGACTGCATACTGAAACCATCAAAGGAGCGTGTTCTTTCCTGCAAAAGAAAAACAAAGACTACGATTATCTTTCCCTGTATACAACGTCAACATCTAAAACAGAAAGGTGCATGCTGTTGTGAACCATTTGAAAACTACAGATATATGGCTACATATAGCCACAACTATGTGACAGCCATGCCACCTAGGGAATGCCCAATCATCTGATCTTGGAAGATTTGTACCAGATGGAGAACACTGGGAATTCCAGGTGCCATAACAAGGTAGCAGTGGTGAGTGCACACAGCCTTTTGTCCTTGGGCAAGACACTTCTTGCCTCTTGTCATCACTGTCCATACACACTGGGCTAGTGGCAAATACCTTCATCACACTAGTGTAGTAGTTTTAAAATTTTGTATACATTTATTTTTTTGTGCTTTAGGATTTGACATCACTGAGAATGCTTTGGGTAATGCCTAAAAGGACAAGATCTCGGAGACAGAGTGGAGTTTCCTCTACAGGATGGCTGGGTGCACCCTTAGTGACACGGGAGGAACTCTGAGTAGAGCCGCTGTTCCTCCATGCCGAGAGGAGCCAGCTGATTCGATTTGGTCATCCCTGCTTGGAGAACTGCCTCCGCTACCCAACCCCAGAAAATGGAAGAAAATCCAGTGCAGTGCAGTAGCATGTTTTTTCTTCCAGTTAAGAGCTGGTGTCAAAATCTACAATTCTTGTCCTTCTGAACACATTTGAAAACTAATTCAGCTTTTTAGTCAAAATGGCTAAAGAAACCTTTTGCATAAAATAAACAGTTCTGACAGTGTGTACTGATCTTCCACAGAAGCTCAAAGCACAAGACTAAATCAGGACAAAAGTAAAATCATGTGATTGCCTCAGATGATAAGGCTTCTTCTTTGACCAAACGATCAAGATAAGGCCGCAGACATGAGCACTCTCAATGCAGTTCAGTTCATTCATTTAGACAGCTGTACTGTCACATATCCTGTTTTGCACAGTGGCTCATTAGTGGGATTGGATACAGATATCGGTGTTAAATTGGATTAGTGTAAGTTGCCTATTCTTATGCAGCAAAACTATATCTTGATTCCTATATATAAAGCAAACAGTATGTTTTGTAATGAATAATAGCAACATTATGCATTTTGGTAAGCAGTTTTACCCACCTGAAAAGGATAGATGTTGTCACTGCGATTCATGCTGTCTTCCACCCAGCTCTTGTGACTGAAGCCAGAGTTATTTCTGGGGAATTTCTGAGAAGCAACCTAAAACAGTTAGGTTTTTGCATAACCATCCAACTTGAAAGGGCATAATGCTAGGTATATAAATATGAGTAACAATATCTGTCATAAAATACCTCATATAGCAATGATTGTATAGTTCTTAAAATAACAATTAAAACATGTCTAGATAATTGGTGGTTCAGGGGTGATACATTCGAATTGCTTCATATAAAGATACAGTGATTGACTGTGGGTTAAATACAGATGAGAAAATTTTTTCCCGCCATACGTTCTGATGTGGTGCAGGAGTTACAATTTACATTCAGTTATTCAGTTTTCAACACAAATATACAATAGGAATACCCATAAATGTTGATTTTAATGATTTATGTGATTAGACCTGCTCTTATGTATCCAAACAATGCCTATATTGGTCAGGGAACAATGATTCATATCTGAACTGCACACTCCACAGGCTTATACTGCTGAAATGTCATCAAACTGAAAACCAGTGATAATGGAATATATATGTGAATATTTTCAGTCCCCATACCTGGTTATTGGTAAAAGACTTCTTCAGTGGAGAGATGGAGTTAAGGCCTGTCATTCCTCCGCTGACACCTCGACGATACTCGCGGACCCCCTGCGTGCCACCCCACCCTCCATACCCACCGGGACTCCAGGAGGTGGATGTGGGGGTGGAGGGGCTCTGGTAACTTCCCCAAGGTGACGGAGGTTTGCTCTGAGTGGGAGTGAGGTGTGGCAGCTGTGTGAACGCCCCAGTGCGATGGGGGTGAGGGGGAAAGGATGGAGGGTGGGGACTGGCAGGGGAGCGGCGGTGCTGCTGTGGGATGCCTTGGCCATGGGGGTGGTAGTGCTGGGGGTGTGGGGTCGGCGGAGCAGGGTGATGCTGGGAGACGGGCCCCAATTGTGAGAAACTGCCCCCTGCACCAAAGCTTGGGCCTGCATGGTGAGAGAAGTTTTGAAACAGGAGGGGCGGACCATTTGCATTGGAGCCAGGAGGCCCAAAGAATCCTCCAACATCCTCTCCGACCACAGGAGACTGGGTGGATGGGACTGCAGGGGACCAGTTATTAAAGCTGGTAAGGGAGGAGGATGAGGAGGTGGACTGTGCACAAGTTGTGACCATGCCCAAACCCTCCTGATAGTCGAATCCACTTAAGACTGGGGAGTCCAATCTGAGCTTCTCTTTGCCTGCACTGCTCTCCAGTGAACCCTTCTCTAATGAGCCCTCCTCAGACAGGCCCCCCTCCAGCTCCCCTAGGGCTCCACTGGACTCCTGCTGCCCAGGTGGGCTGCTGGGCTGCGCTTGGTTCTGAGACTTCTCCTGAATGTCCTGCAGCTCCAAAGGCTTGGACTTGTCTGACTCCAGAATCTCATCTTGCATGTTACTGTGTTGGGCTACGGCAGGGAATAGCCAGGCACTGCCCCCATTGGTGGAGCAGGTGTTATTTACGAAGGAAGGGGGGCTTGGAGGGTTTGACGAGTGGTGAGGGTTCTGGGGTTGTAGGTGAGGTGGGATCCTTACGGGAAAACCAGATTTGTTACCGCTGCCGTTCTTCACAAGGACTCCAAACCCGTAGTCCCCCATTTAGGACGCCCAGTAAATCTTCAAGTGTCTTTTGGCTTTCACCTTTTTTTCCTAGATGTGCACAAAAGATGGAATTATATGAGCAGGTAGACGTGACAGTAAGCATAATGCATTTACAACTCAAGCTGCTGAGGCCATTTAAAAGCAGAATCGCAGTAATGCGCCTAGGCTGCACCCTCCCTAGTCTTGTGATGCAATCAGTGAGATTAAATCATTCACTCGCCAAGCCATGGGAGGCCTGGATGAAATACAACACGGAGAGCATGCAGGGCCAGACAACCATGGAGAACAACCAGCCTAACCAAGGCAGCGAGCTAGCAGCTTGTCCTGGTAAAGCTGACGTTTCCAAAGGTCGTTAAAGGCAGCTAGCAGCAGCAAGCTAACAGCTGCTTCGCCACCTTCCATGTGCCCTATTAGTCATGCACAGAGCAACACTCAATTATAATCTGCGCATTACATTTACGCATAAAGGGTACACGCTGTGCTCAAACTGCACCTACCAATTTATTTATCTTTTTGAGCAGTAACCTCGTCATACGAAACCTTTGAAATACAGGAAAATGCTGATGACGTCTCCTGTCTCTTCTGAATCTAGGGTAGTTCCCTTTCCCAAGCCGCTAGCCGCTAACATAATAGCCGAAAGCCGCAGAGACGTAGCATATGTAGCGCACATCTAGGAGCAATAAACGCGTTCACTGCATTTACGTCGCTTCAGTTTCTTTCTGCATAGACGGCTCTGCTAAAAGCGAAGGACGGAGGAATTTTCCAGGACATGACAAGTTGGTGTATGGCTCTTTAAACGACCTCGTCTGTTTCGCGTCCTGTATGTTCAATGTCACACAGCCCACGAACCCTTGCCATCATTTTTACGCATCAAGCAGCAACCTAGCGCACGCACATCGGTCGTAAGACATCCATAAATATGCACTGTTTAGTCGAGTATAGCTACCTTCAGTTTGGCGTCATGACCTTATCGTTTTGATGTTGCCATATTTCAGCGTTTTTTTTTCTTTTCTGCATTTCCTAGGCAGCCGGTGTTAATGGTCGGACCCTCTCTTCTAGATGACAGCTGGGCCAGTCGGGACACACTTCCGTCTAGAAGCCCCGCCCACGCAATCACGCACCAGCCAATGAGCTTCAGGATTTCCCTTTGGGGCCCCACCCACGCACATGGAGGACTGTGACCCGATTGGGCCATTGACGTGTGCATTACGCCCACCACACTCCTTCTCAATGAATGCACTTGCTCTTAAGACGTTCTCCTCCCAAATAAGGACGCCTTTTAATTCATGGGAGGAGTTGTGAGGAATGTAAATTAATGTTTAAAAGAAATGACCTATATGTGAGACGGTTGTAATTTAAAGGTGCACTGCGCAACTTTGCTTGTCTCCGTGGAGATGCTATTGCTTTGCCTGGAATGTTCCATGGTATGACATTAAACATATCCATATAGCGTTTATTCATTACTGGTGTTTCTTTGCTCAAAAATAGAATAATTCCTCCTATGAACAGATCTGAATTCTAAAGTAGTATAGTCCTGTAACCTGCATGTCTCCCTTGTGATAGATAGTTTTAATCTATACTGTGGAACATTCTAGCCAAAGCAATTACTATGGAGACAAACAGTTGGCGTATCCTCCACTAGAAATATAGTGCAGTGCACCTTTAAAGCAGTGGTTGTTTACAGAGTGAATGTGTGTATTGTCACAACAAATTTATATATATTTTTATATATTTTTTAATTTTTAACAGTAATAATTCTCATTCATTTACTTTTTTTTTTTTTTTTTACCAAGGAAGGCATAGGCTATCACTTTAGTAATTAGATTATAAACATAATGAAGGGTTGCATTTGGAACTAAAAAACTAGACTTCAAATCTTCAAAAAGTCAAACTGGTATGACAAGACAGGAGGCTAAATGGAACAAAACAATGAACTAGAAACCTCATAAACCTCAAGGCAACACCACAAATCTATGCTGAGAGTAAATCTCTAAAACCTTCACACCTAAAACTAAAAGAGGCCTTCATATTAGTTTTCTACTGGTGTATAGCAAAGAGTTGGGCCATGTCCTCTGTAATCTCAGTTGTGATAAAATGATTTGACTAAACAAATGGATTTCTCCTTTCAAGTATGACTGTGCAGTAGCCCTGGGATGTGGCGTGATGACATGCCTCACTGTACATGATTTTATTGATAGATTATACGGCCACAGCACCACAGAACAATCCCTTTAAAATAATCTGCAGCTATTTTCAGACCACAATCCTGGTGAAAGCGTGTGATTTTACTCAGAGGTGAGCTTTGCTCTATTTGCTAACACGGCATATTCTAAAGCAAATTAATATCCCGCTAGTCCATAACCCTAATTTAATTTAATGAGGTTATCATACCTACAGTCACAATAACAACAATAACAGTGAAAGATACAGTGTGTAACATTCCGGAGGTGACACATCCTGTACATGATTCCAGGGAAATAGAAGGTTAAAAGCATATTTTGGAGATAGATACATATTATATAACAATTTAATTTCCTTCAGGATGAATAAAATATCTATCTTTCTGTCTATCTATTTTTCTATCTTTCTTTCTTTCTATCTATACCTATTTGAACACAAGCACTTGTTCTCTCTGTTTAGCAGAATATCTTGCATTGAGTTTATGTAAAATATTCATTGTGATGCACAGTGGCGAGACTCCTGCCAAGAAGGTAATGGGACCCAACCACATGCCACAAACTAGGTCTTCTTACCATCCAAAGACCCAGAGACTCTCACTTGTCCAGAGTGAATGAGTTTGTGTGAAAGATTGTGTCAGTATCTGTTTCTCAGTTGGTAAAATAGTGCCACAGCAAATGATTAAGCAACTACACCAAATGCAAAATATTTTCTAAAATACGAAAGAGTAAAAATAACCATATTGGTTAACTGCTGCACACTGCCTTAAAAGGTGCAGTGTGTAACTTTTCTCATCTGTCATCTACTTGTCTCTATGAAGATTTTATTGCTTTCTCTAGAATGTTACACAGTGTAACATTAAAAATGTATGTAATTTATTTCATTACACTTTTTTTAATAAAAAAAATCTAAAATAAAAAAATCCAGAAAACAAGCATTCTTACTGTTACTGGGGTCGCCTCTTCTCAGATCTGTCCTGTAACGTTGGCCTGGTGACATCTCCATGGACACAGATATGTTCACTGCCATACTGTAGTAGAATATTTCAGTCAAAACCAAATCTCAGTAGATACAAACAGATGGTGAACCCTCTCCCAAAAAAGTTATACAAGCACTTTTAAAGAGCCCAAAGTACCTCCCGGGACCTAGACTTATAAGAGATCTGTAGAAAGTATGTATTTAATATTTTCTAGCACTGTTGTTTGCCCAGAATAGTCATTTCACTTTGCAAATAAATAACCCTTCAAAAAATACTACTTGTTTTTACTTCTTATACTTTTTGTGTCTTTTTTTGTCCCCCAAATACAGACCAACCCTCCTCCTGAGTCCTGTCTTGTCACAGCAGTTACACCTCAACCTCCTGTGTGCTGCAGGGCCTGTTGGAGGGGCCCCACCCCAGCTACTGGTTTCTCATTATAAAGTAAAATTTTGCTAACTTGGCCAGTTGTTACTAGTTTGGAATTTGAAGAAAGAGCACAATAATTGCGTTGTATATTTGGTAGTCAAGGTGCCTCATTAGGTGTCTGTGTTTTTGTTTTTTGTTTTTTTCTGTTTTCAAGTTAAAAGAATGAGAAGGATATGGAGGTGTTCAGGTTTAAAACTTTAACCACATATTTCTTACTTAGCAGTAAACTCTATCCTCAATAGGAGTTAAGTTGTAAGCGCAATAGAATGAACTCTGTGTACATGCATTCTTATTGAGAATGGAATCACCTTTCCACAGATCTGTCTTATAACTTCTATTACTTGTCTATCATTTTTTGGCAGATTCTAGATTATTTTAAGAGATGCACCAGCATCTCCACCACAAACGTTGGTGTATAACATTTTGTTCTTGCAGTACTCAAGTACAATTTCGAGGTGGGCAAGAGTGTGAATGTTGTTTTGAAGATATGCAAAATTTCAAGATAGGGTATAAAGAGAGAGAGAGTGGGCAATTCCACAACTGAAATTATCCAAATGATTCTAGGGAAGGTGTATGGAGTTTAAAAAACACAGTGGAGCACTCTGTATTATCACTGACATTACCAGGAGGAGCAGAGTGTTTTCTATTTGAGAGAAAAACTCAGCCTAAATATGCAGGGTTTGTGTGTTAAACATGTGTGAATGAAACAAAACACTACTCCAGGTATGTTTTTGGTGAGTAAACATTACCTCACAGTTGCTCTTCACTGTGCCTCTGTGCCTCACTGAGCTAGGAAAACCTGCCTGTTCCTACGCAACACCACGGTCTTGGAATCACTGACAGAACGCTCTTCAATGGGAATTTATGGTGCCACTTGATAAGTTCAAGAAAAATTTAAGAACCGTGGAGACCTAGACATGTGTGTTTTTCTTGAGAAATGCAAATGGTTTTATAATGTGATATTTTGTGATTTTACTGTTTTGTATTGCTTGTGTTGGCTACTACCTTGGCCAGGTCTCTTTAAAAAAGAGATTCTGAAACTCAATGGGGCCTCTTGGTTAAATAACGGTAAAATAAATAAAATAACATAAATCAGAAAATATGAGCCCTTAAAAACAGTACATGGGCAAAATATGAAAAAACAGCTGTTTGTATACATATGAACTCTATGTATCACAAAGTCTATTGAGAATCATGTGTGCCATTCGACTCACTCTGGACAGCTCTTAAATCATTAATTCTGCAACTTCAGCGGACGGTCATTAATTCATTAGTTCAGTGGAAGACTGAGCCTCCTCCATGAGCCAGCTCAGGTTTCTCTGCTTCCCCTGCCTCCTCCCTCCATATTGATAAAGCTTTGTTGCCATGCCGACCATGTGTAAGCTCGGAGATTTCAGGACTGGCCAGATGTCCATTGTTTGGTCAAGAGGTCATCCCTTTTTCTGATTCATGGATTGCTGTGGCTACTGAAGTGTGACAGAAAATAATTTATCAGACCACAACTGAACAGCCACCATTGCTTTGTCATTAAAACATGCTGCATAAATATACACACTAATGATTAATAGGCTAATGAACCTATATCACATTTTGAAGTCTTGTGAGATTTAAGACATGTAATATGTTGTTACCTCATGAAAAACATACCTGGACTTGTGTTTTGTTTCATTCACACATGTTTGAATAACCCTTTATTATTAGTCTGCCAATCTCCAAAGCTCAAAATGCTCTTATCCAGGTCTTAAATTATCCAAATCATTCTAGTGAAGCTGTATGGAAAACAGTGGAGCAATTCCTGTATTACAACACGACATCACAAGATCAAACAAGGTGTTTTCTGATTGAGAAAATAACTGAGCCTAAATATACAGGGTTTGTGTGTTAAGGTCAGCTATCTCTACATTACTGATCAATTGTAGAGTAGTTTTTCAGTTATTAGTATTGCACTAAGTAAACAAACACAAAGCTCAAGGCCAGACCTAGAGTGACCACTTTTATTTTATTGTAGTTATATACGTTTGTTGAGTTTTTTTATTATTTCTCTGGTAATATTGGAGGCATGCTCTCTGGCCAGACCACTTCAATTACCATTCTGCCAAAGAATGTGCACAATAAACAATGGGATATTTAAAAATATTCCTTAATAAATTTTTAACTCATGAACTTGCAGTGTCCTCATTCTCCACTTGAAAAGATTCAGATATGACTCTGAGTTTCAAATGGAGAAAGTGATGCAACACATCCAGCTGGATAAGGATCTAGTCATTCAGTCCAAACCATTAAACATTCAAATCTTATTTTCCTGTCATATTTTACTGAGTGAAAGTAACATATTTAAACATTTGTGAATGTTGTTTCATCATCCAGGTTTGTTTGTGATGAAGAAACAACATTATAACATTATATAGTTCAGAAAATAGTGTAATATGAGCCCTTTAAGCAAGATCCCAAAACTGACTACACTTTCTACTTTTTCCTCCACAGCGTTTTTGAACAGGACTGAAAAATA